TGTAGTGGGTATTCTTGAGCTTATAATCAACACACCGTTATATGGGTCAACTGCTCTGAATATGAGCTGGTTAGGAGACAGTACAAGAATTGTACCTCCTACGCTAACATAATCAGAGCTTTATAAAATACCGCTTCTGCTGGCTCACTGTTCTACTTTGCTGACATGGGACCAAACTAACTGAGTTCTTGACCTTCTTTGTTTTCAAGTGTAGTCCTAGTGTTTACCAGAGAGTTATAGACCTCTATCTGGGGTGATTTATTCTATAAATAACCTATAAATTTAAATAACCAAGTAAGTCTCAGCAGAGCTACCTCTCTCTGAGTCTAACTACAACTCTATCACTGTAGCAGCGGATGAACCATTTCTTCATGAGCTGCAAGTCCTGGTTAGTGCAGGACTCTAGCTCACAGCAGAAGGTACCAGCTTCAGTCCAAGACAGAGGGATTGGAGTATGTCAGTGGAGCATGCTCTCTGGGGAAGCAGCTGAATAATATCAAGGACTGCAATAATGGTGAACTGGCCACTGGGCCAGCAGGCAGGAAACTTGTGTGTGGAGAAGAGCCACAACTAGCTGGTTAGCAGTGACTGAACTTTAAAACAATCAGATCTTGCTCAGTAAGTTCAGCAGCTCAGCAATAAATTGGCACATATACTTGGCCACCCATTAATATATATGTGTGGCTCATCCAAATAAAAACTAAAACAATAAAACATTGAGCCCACTTAAAACCCAAAGTTCAATAAGCTTTAGGAAGATGACCTTCATGTAATACCTAAAGTGTTCTCTAATTGCATTTTTCGTTACATGTATAATGAATTTCTAACAAAGGCTGCAGAGTGCTACACCCTCCAAAGCATGCAGAAAAAAAGAACAAAAATGAAACATCAATTTCAAACGATTTTTATGAAGGATGAAAAAAAAAAAAACATGCCTAAATGACAAAAGCCTGGATGTGCCTCTTCTGCTGCCATATTCACTGACACTGTGGGTCACTGTGCCAAAAATGGTGCCTTCCATTTATCTGACTCATGGGACTGATGATTTGAGGCACATGTACATCAGCTCCACCACCAGCCTCTTAAGCTATGATCACCTGAAGAGGCCTCTTATGGTATAAATCTCTCTCCAGAGGCGTTTGTCTGCCTTTGCAGTGGTATGTTTTCTGACTTAGCCTAATGCATAATCTGCTTTCCCACAAACTGAACTGAACCCATACTGTGTGCACCAGAGTTGCTGTAAAAAGTAATGAGAGTCAATTTTGCTCAGCACTTAGGGGATATGGAAATGCATAAATATCGCTTATTTCCACTGTTAAAAATGTAGGGGTCTTCACAGAGGGGACTCAAAATCCGCTAAATAAGCCAGAGCTATAGTGAAAGGTTGCAGAGAATGGCTTTGAATTATTCCAAAGACAAGAGCAGAAATGCAGATCATATTGGAAGTATAAAAGGGACAGGGCAAAGAAACAAAGCCAGGTGACACGTCAAGTCAAATCGCTTATGGTGATGTAATCAAGATGTGACAAGATAACCACTGGATCACTTTATTGGTAAATATAAATTATTGAAGGAACACAAGTATGGTTTTAGGGAAAATGGAAGTACTACTTATGTATTAATGGTGATGTTGAAGAAAAGCGACAATACTGATCTACAGACTCTTAATACAACATATTACAGTGAATTATTGAGAAAGTTGGAGACATAAAGGCACAAGAGAAATAGCTCATACCTGGATTAAAAAGCTGTTTGGAAAATAATGTGAAAATTCATTCATCATTTTCGTAATTTAGAAAAGGCTACATTTAGATATTTTAGAGATTGGTCCAAACATTTTTTATGCTTTTTGCACTGATTTTAATGTGAGTAGCTTCCCACTTACCCTCTATCTTGCTTATGGAACATTGCTTTTCAACAGAAGACAGATGGATAAATTGAGGGAACGAAGGTTTGCAGATGTGCAGCATTTTGAAAATGACTACCTTTGCGGTTCTGGTGTTAAAACAAACATGAATTCTGACTAGGATTTCAGTCTGTTTGGATTAATGTCTGATTCAGAAAACATGCAAAAAGAATATTGGAAACTCCAGAAATATGAAATAACATCTTGTCTGTGAGTTTATCAACCATGAATACCACAAAAGCTTCACTGTGGTATTTTTATTTTCACAGCTCCAGTGTCATTACTGTGAACACCTCTTGTGAACCAATATAAAGGCAACGGCAAGCCGGTTTCCATTTGCTCAGAGTGCTAGGTTACAAAGCTGCACACCAAAGGACCATGATCAGCGTGATAGTTATTCTTATTTTTGACAGTACTTATTATTATCAATCAGCTGATAAATGAATATGACAAAAGGGGATGTGTGGGATTAATCCTCCCTCTCTCAAAGGAAAACACAGCTATGGATGCATATGAATGATGTTTGCCTTAGATAATCACTGACTTGAGTCAAGTGCTGCTGACTCTTATAATTACAGTTCGAAAATACCTTGCTTGCATTCTGTGGTTTAATCTACAGTTTGCTTTTGAAATATATCATAACTTTCTTATCACACAAACAGTGGCAGTTGGTGGTTAAAAGAAAAATATATATATTTTTGGGTGGGTGCAATTGGGTCTGACAGATCAAACAATGAAGGTCATGAAAAAAAAACACAAACACAAATAACCCAGCTGTTCTACTATACTAAGCCTGAAAAAAGGTGAAGCTTCATGCTATTGTACAAGTGGCTACAGCTGCTCTCATGTCTTTTGCACTTTTCTGTTAAGTGCTTTATCATATAGCCTGCTGGGGAAGGTTTGTGTATATGCTCTCCCACGGTCCGTGGACTGCTGCTGTCTAATTCTGGATGGTCGAGTTCAAGCCCTTTGATTCTTTTCTTCGACCGACTGCCTTAAAAACAGAGTGTTGCTGTAAACAAACAACTGATTTTAACTTTGTTTCAGCAGCACTTGAAGTCACCATTCTTGGTCAAAAGCTAGCTAATGAGCATCTCTTCTTCTTCTTCAAAACAAGAGTGGCTGTGGTGTGACGATGTGTGAATGACATTGAATCAAATTCTTAAACAAGGCAGGTAATCCATGCCGAATGGTTCAGGATGCACAAAATTGCACCCCAAGGGGGGAATTCGATGCTCCAACTGACATGACATAAAAACTTTCAGTGTGTACGTAGACTCCCATTACTCTGTTTAAACTAAGTGCATGTTATTTACAACATCACCCAAAAATCTATATTCAAACCCTTCATGGTCACAAAACTGAAAAATTGAAACTGTTAATTGCATTAAAGGACTTTTAAGAACCATGTGGAACATTTACCAAGAAAATTAGAATAGAATGACTTTATTGTCCAAATTAATGGAAAATTGTCAGAATAAAAATTCTGGTGGCTATCAGCCAACATACATACATATGCATATAAAAATTCAATACAACTATAGAAATAAATCACAGCATCTTATTAATTAGTATGCTGATTGCTTTTGGCACAAATGATCCCGCATACACCTTTTTACTAGCTAGATGCATCCTATAAAATCGTTCAGAGGTCATTACTTCAAATTCAAAATAAAGGTGTTCACAGTCTGCAACAATAGGCCGGGCTTAAGACAGCCTGATGACAAAGCTTATCCAATGAAGTTTGGTGTCGACCAATCCTGTTCAGTTCTTCCTATTTTCCACAATCGAGGTACCATACCAGACTAAGATACTGAACTGAAGCATGCTTTCAATCAAGCTGACATAAACTCTGTCCACAGTTGTGGCTAACTGCAGAGCCTCCCAATATCCTGATAAGAAAAAAATTCTTATTAGCAGTCTTGTAAATGGAATTAGCATTAACTATAAAAATTAATCTTTACATTAATATATGTTCCCAGACTTCCACCGACTGACCAGAGAGTGAAAGACATTTTATGGAGCCTGTATAATTCAAGACAAGCTCTTTCAAATTAATTAATTAAAATTAATCAACAACCAATGAGAGTTATACCATTATTCCAACCTACATTCCTGAGCAAAACAGTTAGAGTTGCTACAAAAGAGATCCACAACAGCTATGTCGTCAGCATATTTTAACATTTTCGCATTCCTATCCTGCAGCTGCATGTAATTTACATAAACATAAACTGGCATAACGATGGAACATACCGTTGAGGGGCCCCGTAGTAACGTGATTTAACTGACAAAATTTATTGATGACAAAGGTTGGTTATGTATGTAGAAACAAATCTTGATTTAAATCAACAAGTTGCAGGCTCATGCACTAGAATTGCACACTAGAATATTGTGCAAGCCACAATTTTTGCTTGATTAACCTTCTAGGTCCACCTTGAATCCTCTTGATTCTGTGGATCACAGTGCATTACAGTTTATCACAGGTGATTACTGACTTACTCACCATTGCACCTTATATAAATAAGTGGGGTGATCCTACCTCGCAAATCGAAGAGAGCAGCACTGTACCAAGGCTCGATTGCAAATAGTGCCTGCTTACCTTTTTTCTTAGACTGAATTTAAGCACTGTACACAGCACCTCTTAGATGTACAAAACTATGAATGTACATTCTTTTACCTTTTAACATGTAATATTTATTTATCTTCAGATATATTGTGGTGCTATATGATTTGGCTATGTGTCTAAATTTGCTATATGGTTCTTGGAAATAGATCTCTTATTTTAAAACATACATTTTACATTTATCGAATTTATCATTAAATATAATAAATAACAGCTAAAAAAAAAAAAATCTTAATAATAATCGTAGCTACATGCATGAATGTATTTTTCAGGTTAGGTTATGTACTACTTTATACAAACACGTCAAACACATCTATACGTGAGCTGGTAGCCGCTGGACACGTTTCCCCCTGTGATATTTACCAACACCTGCAAAGGCAAAGCCCGGTGACAGTGAAGCTGAAGGAATTTCACAAGAACAGAACTGTGTCCCAGCAAAGCAAAAAGCTTTGCCTGAACTGCAACTCTTACCTTAGGTCTAAGTGAAAATGTTGATTTTGTCTTTCAAGACAGTTGAGAGGTTAGCTCATTTGGGCAGCATCAGCGTCTCAGTATGTTGCAGAGTCGAAAGCAAAGACGTGTAGTGGAAACGGAAAGAAAAGCATACCGGCGTACACAGCAGCTGTGAGTAACCAAAAAAACACCCGCGTGTTCAGTCATGAAATTTCTCCGAGACTCGGCCGGGGGTTTTTGCTCTTGTTTACAAGCTAGCCTAGCGCTCACAAAAGCAGAACCAGAGAGATCATCTGCCTGAATACCGACTCCACTCTGCTGTGTCCAGTCTCCACCTACCGCCGAGGGGAATCCCGCGCTCAGATCTCGCGATGACACGAGCTCTCTCACAAACGCTCCTGTGTGTAACTACCTAGTAGTGATGTGCGATACCACTGAATTCCTTTCCGATCCGATACCAAGTAAAATTCAGGGTGGTATCGACGATACTGATCCTATACCGATACTCTGTGCAAAAACTTAATGTTTAATTGTATTTCATAATACAATATAGAATTGCATTATGTAATTGTAATAATAATATAATAATATAGCTTCATAATGATTACAGGACATCAGACTACTTGTTCTTATTGCTTAATGATGCAGAATAATCATATAGAAATAAAAAAAACCTGAAGTTGTGCGCTATTTGAGCATGTTGCCTGCCTGCAGCACTAAAGGACTCCGCAGGAGACGCCTGTCTCACCCTAGCAGCACCTGTCCCTCTCCTCCTCTTCAGTTCGCCTCAACATAAGCTCATCATATTCTGTGATATGATTTACTCTGAGGTGTTTGACGAGGTTAGTGATGTTGCCACAACACCTCACTGTCTTGCCACATGTATCGCAAACTGCGTCTTGGCTGTTTGTGGAGGTAAAATATGTCCACACATGACTCTGTTTACGCTCAGCCATCTGCCCGTGAGTGCCTTTAGGAAAGGTCAGAGCAAATCTGATCAATGTGAAATATATTAAGACATAATAAACTGATTGAAAAGTCCAATCGTGATGAAACTGATGAAGTAAAAAAAAAAAAAAGAAAATAATGCAGCATTCATTTTATGAATAGTTGCAGCTCTGCTTTGTTGGACAAGATTTGAACTGATACAGAAAACAAACATGTGAAATTAAATGTTACATATGGTACAAGACAATTGAAATGGTAAATGCAACTGGGTCCCAATCCCAGAATGGGTCATTTGGCAGATGACAAGGTATGTACTGACAATTTTGCCTAATATTTAATCTGTTATTATTAATCTATTGTAGGAACCTTGCATTATTTGGATCATCGCTGGTGGGAAGTGCACTGGTGTGTGATGGGAAGACAAACATAAAGCAACACTCCCATCTTGAGTTTGAAAAAAGAAAAGCAAGCAAGAGGATTGTTTCTGTTGTTACTCCATCTATTCATAATCTCTTTATAAATACAAACGCAGCTCTGTCATAACCAAAGCATAAGGGAACATGAAAGTGACTGATAATCCTGAAAACCAACCGGTTATGACAAATTAAAGGATGACAAATAGCTTCCAGAATTACTTTAGTGCCCCTTGTTATAGACACTGCTCAACTAACTGGCTAACTTATTAACTAACTAATTAACTAAATAAATAAATAAATAAATAAATACATGAATAAATAAACATAATAAAGGAACGCTTATTCATCACAGTATATTATCAGGTCAGTTAAACTGGGGTATTAATCTGCTCGGTTAAGTAGCAGACAGGGTTGTTAATCAGTTTCAGCCTCTTTGGTATTAATGAAGTTAACAACAGTTGCAACACTGAGATAACCACTAAAACAGTAATGGTTGTACGGGTGGAACCCACTGAAATTTGTTTCAGGATGACAACTGCCCTACAAAATGACCTTTCTTAGTGGGCCCTGTGCTCACTGCTCAGCACTGTAGAGCCCAGTTGGCATTTTCATAAAATACCAGAATTGTCAGATTGCCCACTGGTGCTGTGTATTTTCACACATACTCACACATACTAACATGAAATCCTTCTTCATGTGACAGATGTGAAAGGAAGACAAGTCATTAGAACTTTAAGCTGCCTTGTTGGGTCTGTGATGGTTGAGGGAGGCATATGGGATGCACAGACCGTGCATATAAAAGCCTGACCTCATGTGATGAGAGTGTGCAGGCAGTTCCTAGAGGATGAAGGATTTTATACCATTGACTGCCCTCCATGCTCACCTGATGTAATCCAATAGAACACCTCTGGGACTTTATGTTTTGGTCCATAGGACACTGCCAGGTTGCCCCTCAGACTGTCCTGATGCTCAGTCATGCCCTGGAACAGATCAGAATCAGAATCGGAAATACTTTATTAATCCCGAAGGAAATTATCGGTTACAGCAGGCATCATGCTGGATAGCACATGCGCACAAACAAAGGAACCCTCTGACCAAACATACCCTACACAAACATCACATTGGGGAGACAGGTCAATGAGGAAATCCCACAGTAAACCATCTGTCGTCTCATTCAGAGTATGCCACAACATTGTCAGTCATGCATGTCAGTCAAGCAGATTGTTTCAACTTTCCTCTGTAGTTTGGTAATTTCCATCAACCCTGACCCTGGCCCTGTCGCCATCAATTGGTACTTTCTCTTCTCTGGCCAAAACCTAGCCCTAGACACAACAACAAACTGCTCCAACAAGAGATATTTGGTCTTGTACCTGCTTAGCTTCCAGAATGAGATTAAATTGGCACATGCTCAGTGTGTTATGGCAGTACGCTGTTGCTTTGATCACAAAGTAAGAATTTATGGATTCAAAGGGTGAACCTGGGCGTATGAACTCTCACTCAAACCCCAACCCTATCCAATATTCTAAAGCCCTAACCCCATCCTTGACTGTAACGGTAACCATTGGAGAAACCCAACGCCTGGCCCTAATCCTATTGGTTAGAGGTATTGCTTGTTTTACCAAAAAACTAACATTAAAAATGTATACTCTTTGCCCATTTCCTCATTTTTTCATTTTTCTTTCTCTACACATCAGGAACATTCCCATTCTGAAAAAACAGGATAAACTTTAAGCCCCTGGTATTCCCAGGTGGTCTCCTATTCAAGTACTAACCAGGCCCAATCCCGCTTAGCTTCTGAGATGAGACAAGATCAAGCAAGCTCAGGTTGGTATAGCTGTAAGCTGATCCTTGTAGCACAAACTGGGAATTTATGGATTTGAAGAGTGAACCTAGCTGTACTGTCTCTGTCTCTCGGAACTACAACCTTTCCAATATTCTGAAACCCTAATTTTCTAAAACCCTAACACTAACATGGTACATGTGTATTCTTTCATGGGCCTCTGCCTTATTTTTCAAGGCTCTTTCTCTCCACATCAGGAGCAGTACCTTTCTGAAAAACAAGAAAAGCCTATAGCACCTGGTATTCCCAGGCGGTCCAAGTACTAACAAGGCCCCACTCTGCTTAGCTTCGGAGATCACATGAGATAGGGCATGCTCAGGGTGGTAAGCTCGCAAGCTGCCACTTGGAGCAAAAACTGGAAATTTATGGATTCAAAGGGCAAACCTGGGTGTATGTTCTCTCACTCAAACCCCAACCCTACCCAATATTCTAAAGCCCTAACCCCATCCTTGGCTGTAACCCTAACCATTGGAGTAACCCAACCCCTGGCCCTAATCCTATTGGTTAGAGGTATTGCTTTGTTTTTACCAAAAAACTAATATTAAAAATATATACTCTTTGGGCTCACAAACTGGGAATTTATGGATTTGAAGGGTTAACCTAGCTGTGCTGTCTCTGTCTCTCAGAACTCCAACCTTCTAAAACCCTAACCTTAACCCCAATCACTGGCTGTATACCTAATCGCTGAGGTAACTCAATCACTGGCCCTAACCTGATTGCTCGGATGTTTCTCTTGTCTGATCAAAAAACTAATATCAAAACAGACACTAAACTGTCCCAACTAGACACACATGGCTTTTGGACATTACTAACAGGTTATACAAAATGGATGCATTAAATGTGTACACTTTAATGGGTCACTGCCTTAATTTTCAGTACTCTTTTTCTAGACATCAGGAGCAGTGAAAAACAGGAAAAGCTTACAGCACCTAGTATTCCCAGATCCAAATACTAACTATATGTATGTATGCTAAACTGTCAAAAGCTGCTGCCTGTCACACAAACTGGCAATTTATGGATTCAAATGATAAATCTGGTAGCCACTGCTCCTGTTGCTCTTTACTTAAGTGTAAATAAAAACTTTGAACTTTCCAACTATTTTTGAGTCTGCTTTGTGAGTTTGTGCAAGAATTCGGTATGACAAAGAGGAAATAGGCCTATGAGCTGGAGAAGCAAAACTGAATAATTTATATGTTAAATTTAGCTCTGCTGTATTTGCTCAGCATTTATGTAGCTACCATAGAGCACAACACAATGGGATATGAATTACTCAACTTTATCTTGTTGCACATAAACTCTGAATGTCTTACATTTGTTATGTATTTATACGTATGTCTTTGGATTTTGTTATTTTTCACTGCACACATTTCAACATGGAAAATGCACCTTCTTTGAGTGGAATACTTCTGACTGAGCGAGCAAAAAATAAAAGTTGCAACTGAATAATGAAAGCACCTGTGAGGGGAAGCTGGATGTTCAGTGAATCATTGAGCCAGATAACATGCCTTACTGGCTGATCAGGTATAGGTACACTGTGTGATAGAGCAAAAATAGAGAGAAAAGGTTTAAAGATCACAATTTTCAACTAATAGAAATGCTGAACAAGAGAAGAGAAAGGATGCGGAGTAAAGGCCTAAACATAGATCTGATTGTCTGACACTAGGTGTCAGTGCACACCTTTTACTGCAAAGACCAAACAACAGAGACAGGGAATGTCCAAAAATAAGGTTTGTGTTAAAGTCTTGAAGTATGGAACCCAATTATTTCAAGTTGATTATCACTTTTGACATTTATCTTTTTTAAAAATCAAGGAAGAAGTAAAGTACTTCCTGCTATCTCATAGTAAATGTGTCATTATTATTATTATTATTATTATTATTATTATTATTATTATTATTATTATTATTATTATTATTAACATTATCGTTATTTTTGTTGTTGCTGCAGTATTTGTCTACAATATTTGTGTTGTTCAGCAACCTTTTCTAATCAAGACCGTTTGACGTCAGAGTTGAATGCGGTTGATGATGCTGATATGCTACCTTCAAGTACTCCTCGAAATAACCTGTATTCAGTCTGCTAGATTGTGAATATATACAATTTGCTGCCTG